CAGTCCTATAAAAAGAAAAGAATATACTGTTTTCTTTGTTGGCTAAACTGGATCCACTCATACTCAATGCCATGGAAGAAAAATGATGTGAAGAAAACCTTCCTTTAGTTGACCTATCAGGGATCAGGTAAGCTGAGCTAGAAATTGTGGACATGACCAAGTAGCGAACAATCAAGAAAGATGGCAAAGACAGAAAGCAGACAAATTAGTGATTTGAACTTGAGACTTGAGACTGCCAAGTCTTTCTCTCATACTCATTCCTGTCTTTCAATTTTGTTGCCACTTCCCTGGGCAAGCGCCTCTTTATTATAATATTAATACTTCTTGGGTTGATCCAAAGACTCTAATCTTGGTTATCTCCATTAGCTAACTCAAAACCACCCCACGAAAGTGTAAAAATCTAAGTTATATTCTTGTACTTGATATGGAGACACAACCTCCAAAGAAGTCCTCTACCTTCCCAGCTTTCAACCATACATAAGACCTTCCTTCTCTTGTCAGAGGAGCACCTCCATTTTCCTAGGGGTTACTTCAGTGACTTCTCTTCTGGTCTCTGACTTCCAATATGTTTTGTCTCTAACATACACTATGGGGTGCTTCCAGGTAAGGCTTCCTAAAATAATGCACTTATCATGTCACTCACATCATCCAAAGCTTTCACTAGCTCACCACTGCTTATCAAACAAAGTCCATCCTTGTTCACTCAATATTTCAGATCTCATGAATCTGTCTAGAGACTACATTTTCATTTTTTATTTAAAAAAATTTATGGGGTACAGTTTTTTGTCCTAACCTCCAGACTATGAGGGATGCAGGTATTTTTGGTTATATAGATGAACAAGTCAGAACTCTCAGTGTACCCGTCACCAGAATAGCATACATTGTACTTGATAAGTAGATTTTTATCTCTCATTCTTTCTCCACCCTCCCCCATTCTTGGTTTTCAATGTCCATTGTACCACTTTTTGATCATATATCTCTCTCGTTTAGCTCCATTTTAGTAGTGACTTCCTTTAAGCACTTGAAACTGTAAACTAGCTGAACTGATGTCACTTCCTGGAACATACTCTGTACTTTTAAGTCTCCATTCTTTGTTCCTATTATTGAAAGCATCCCTTTCTAAACATTTCCACTCAAGACACCCTCCGATTTTTCCGGTCGTTATCCATTAGCATGAAGCCTTTCCTGGTTTTTGTCAGAATCAGGCTCTTTCTCTGTAAGGTCCTATGGCTCTTCATGTGTATCTTGGAAATTTCTCTCATTGGTACTATAACATGGTATGAGCTTCATTTCTCCAATCAACCATAAGCTCTTTCATAACACAACTATATGTATCTATATCATCTTTCTATCCCTACTCTCTGGTACAGTGGTCTGTGCTTAGGATATGTTTAATAAATATTGGTTACGTATTACAAATATTGGTTATAAGGGCTGACAGAAGGAATACTAACAGTTCTATGCAGAGACGGAGAACAAGGCAAAGCAGTGCTTTCACAAACCTAAAACACTATAATGTTTACATTCTAGTCATGAAATAAATTATCATTGTTCTTTTGGGGCTGTGCTGAGCATTGGGCTAAGTACATTCTTTGCATTCAATTCTATAATTTTATAGAAGAGGAAATAGACCTGGAAGAATTTGGTAACTTGTCTGTTCATGGTCTGAGATTCCAATCCATGTCTGCCTGAAGTCCAAACTTGTCACATTTTTATTATAGTGTTAATGTGGCTGGGAAGCCCTAGGGTTTTGAGGATATACCTCAAGGGACACCTCAGGAAATTAAAAAAAAAAAAAAAAAACTAAAACAGATGATATCTCCCCTCCCCATCACCTACATCAATAACAGAAGCTTCTCTTTTGTTTGTTTTACACAGTGAAATTTTTTCTTTTTACCTTGACTATTTAGAAAGTAGGGCATTCACTTTCTTATTTGACATTAATTCTTTTATCACCTACTGTCTTCTGAGGATGTCACATATTTAAATTATTTGCTTGGATGCATTGAAATACATAATTCTTCACTTAATGTACTAAGTTTTAAATAAAAATTAAAAGTTGCACCTACTCTGCCCCAAAGAAGACATGCCATGAGACTCTGTGCCTATTTAAACAATGCCATCCTGTTCTAACACAAATGCTTTGCCCCGCTTTTGTAACTGTCATCAAAACAAATTTCTAAGTCTGACAAGAAAATAAATTTTAATACTTGATAGTCTAAATTACTACTTGCTCCAAATAATACTGGTTCTTCCAAAAAAATTTTCCACTTTATAAGGATGAGAACATTATGAGGAAACTTAAGATGTAGTTCTTTAATGTCAACCCCATAAATTATTTGGAAGATGCATGGCTCCCCAAGGAAGCCAATTAAAAGAGAAATAATTTGAGTGTGTAAATTCTGATCTGTGAGTATGTGTGCATATATGTATATGTTTTTCTGTGTGTATACATATACACATACATATATGCATATATACTCATATATAGATTGCTGCGTACTCCTATTTTCCTAGTCATATTAATAGCTTATATCAGAATATTATCAATATACTGTTGCATATCAAAAATTTTGAAAAGATTTGAAAAAATAAATTTCTTCTGGGGATGGGAGAGATGGGAAAGTTTTCATGAAGGAAAGGTGGTATTTGAGCAATCCATGGAGCTCTGGCATAGGCAGATGGATAACCTCGGGACATTCTAGGTCAGTATTTCCAAAGCATTTCCTGGAATGCTGTCCCCAGGAGATGATACTGTGTAAGGAGGGGGTGGAAAGGAGATTGGTGGTTAAATGTGTTGGTTAAATGAGTCTCTTAAAGACTTATGGAGCATAATATCATATTGAGAGCTCAGAGATATCTGTCAAGGAAAAAAAATGCTTCACTTTATATTTCCAATATATTTCATAATGAGTCACTCTTTATTTTCTCTATATAACCTTTAATAACGCCCCCAATATCTAGCTTAAGTAGAACTGTGACATTTAGGCTGATGATTGTGATGGTGGTATGGATGATGGAATGATAGCATCCTCATATTCCTTCCAATAAACACATATATTTTTGTGCCTTGAATAGTTTCCTGTGCTTTTATACAGTTTGTCATTAACAAGTATTACTATGGCAAGTTATTTAATCTCTCTGAACCTCAGCCTCCTTATTTGTAAAACAGGGATAACCTAATACCTGCTCATAAAGAGTTGAAAGGATTAGATGAATTCGTCCACGCAAAGTACTTAGAACTGTGTTCAGTTACTCTATGGTGTGATCTTGGACAATTTCTGTAGCTCAGCTAGAAAACATTAATACTTCCAGACAGTGGCAATCTCCTTTTGGTAGTTTCCAGTTACAGGAATGTCAATGAACACACAATGCTGTGAACAGAGGTATTTTTTTTCTACAACAAACACTCAATAAACTCCTAAGAGCATCAAGTGCCTTAAAACAATTTGTTTCCAGAGCCCTTGGCTCCCAGAGCCACAGAAGCAGGCAGATACTTTCAGGGCCATATTGCATAGTATGTGTCTGTCCCTTGAGGACAACTACTTTTTTTTTTTTCCTTTGTGTTGTTTTTTGTAAGTTTAAAAAAAGGACGTGAACTCCATTACTCTGGGAGTGCAAAAAAAAAAATAGCATTTGGTAATTACAAAGAGATGCTCCAATACATTTTATTAATCTGTCCATTATTAAGAAGATAATTATTCTGCTTTCCTGAACTTATAAAGTTGTGAAGAACATAGCCTTTGTAATTGGCTTTTGCATGTTTCAGGAAAGTCCCTGAAGTTCCTTCACTCCCACAACACCATCTTTACTTCCAAGAAAAACGCATTTAACTAACCTATGCAACCAGAAGAGTTTCTTATTTTGGCTTTTCTGTATCTAACTTGTACCAGGAAAGAACAAGTAGAAAATAAATACATATGGTATGTATTTAAATATGCAAACTTTATCATCATTGTAACCTTTATTTTTATGATTCTAAGGATAAAATAATAATATTGAGAAATGATTGTGAAAGTGTTCATAAATGATAATTCATTTTGAAAATATATTTACTGATAGCAAAAATTGTAAATTGGTGGGTGGGGATTTTCATACTTAGGTTTATAATTTTACTTGCTTTATATTTCAAAGGAGGGACCAACCTCAGTCAGTATTTTCAGGAACAGATGTCAATAAGTCAATAAAGCATGGTGTTTATGTATGTTAATGTGTAATTATCTGCAATTAAATATAATTATAGATAATTATATAACACAAATACAGAACTCTAACATTTGTTAACCATTCCTCACTGCTGTCAAAGTAAATTCCATTCAGTTACTACTTGCAACACACTGGATTTTAAAAAATCAACTCTAAGATGTATTGGTTAAATTTTTAAATTAGGGCGATTCTCATCACAATCAATATCCAAAATATTGCTGATTTTTTATATTTTTTTCTAAGTTTTCATTAACTATGTAACACATCTTACAACCAATCTCGTTTCATAGTTAAGAAAATAGACGACATTGTGCAACCAGGTGTCTAGAGACCTTTTGGGGACATCAGTTTATATTTCACAATTAGCCTCTATGATCTTTCATGCATTCCATTTGTTTATTTTTGCTATGCAGTATTTATGAACTCTCATTCTACCTTAGCTATTAAATGCTGTGATGTATAGGTCACAGAGTTCTCTAATATTAGTTAGTTTTTGTTTTCCAAGGCCAAATTGTAAATTATGAATGAGTGTCTTAGTAAAAAATATATGGAAATAGTGATCTAACTCATGACATTCTTGGACTGCCTTTGCTCTCTTAATAAAATCCAAAAGATAATAGTACTGAAGTCATAAAAAGAGATTCTAATTAAGAACAAAAAATCATCACAGAGGTGATTCAGATTTTATACAACATGACCTAAAATACCATTATTTTCTTTACTTTAAATTTCTTTAAAGTAAAAAAGCAAAACAAAATTAATATAATAATATTATAAGAAACTTTAAACTGGCCCTCAGTATTATGACTTCCTGAGTTTTTATGGAATTAGCTGCCTTTCTAATTGTGTGAAATATTTTCATATTATCCCATTATCTCTGTACGTAGTCCCTGTGGTACAGTACCCGTGAGCCCAACGTATCCATGTCTTTATTTAGGGTAAGACTAGAATCTAACTTCAGACTGAGAAGGAGGAATGGATAGTCAGAAACACCATCATCATGAAAACAAAAGATGTCCTAACCTTCCACAGCCACTTGGAATCTTCCATTACCACATCATCATCATTACTCATTTCTACATTCGTTCTACTATGTTCAGATTGCCTATTCACCCATTCATTTGTTTATTCAGTCAGAAAATGTTTATTTTGGACTCCATGTCCAGTGCCGTGCTAGATGCCTGGAATTTAGAGATGAACACACGTTGTGCCTTCAAGGATAGCGTCATGTGGAGACAGACTGATAATCAGATACTTGCGATAATATGTGGCAAAGCAATTACATAGAAAAACCACAGGGGCAGAGAGGAGTGGGAGAGAAGGAGACATTTTTTATCTTAAAGGAGCCAATGTGTTGCCTAAGTGAAAGAATTTGACTAGGAATTGACCAAGTGTTTATACTTGCATGTTTTTCGTCTTTACCATATCTCAACTTTTGTATCTCTTCAGATCTAGTATTTCTAGACACTTCTCCTGAAGTAGTGTCCTTGATTCTCATGGCCTTAGTGCCATCTCTATGCTTATTACTTCCAGACAGACCTATGGAGGGCAAAACTTTTCTTTGAGCTTCTTCTGTAGCGGGTTTGAGGGATTTGGTACTGATCAAGGAAAAAGATATGACCACAAGGTGGCAGTAGCACACACGAGCTTTGCCGGGCTACTTTGACAGGTTCTGGTTAGGAGGAAGTCCCTCACAGCAGGAGTCTGTCCAGAGGTTAAGGGTCAAGGTCACTACTCAGAAGGGGAGAAGGGCAAGGAAACCACTAGGAGAGAGGAGGGTTTTGCGTCTAGGCAATGTGCCTCAGTAGCATGATGTGGAGTGGGGGGGTGTCTGGGTAAAAGCTCTAAAGGGAAGTTAGCAGCTTGAGTCTTTATGACCCACAGGGTTTATCTATTGCTAGCAGATGTGGGGTGAGGTTTGGTGGGGTATGAAAAACAGGCAGATTTTAAATGTCGAAAAATTTGCTTGTATAGCCAATTTGAAAAAAAAATGAATGCATGTGCAAACATTTGATTTTCTCCCCTGGTGGGCTTTTGAGTCTCAGCCTGCAGCGAAGAAATAAACAACCTAGGGGCCAATACACAGAGGCCATCTTTAGCTCATTTGTATAACAGCTTCTCATCAGTATAATCAAATGCCTATTTAACATCTCCACTGCGGTGTCCCATAAGTATCACGAAATTAACCTGGTCAAGACTGAACTTCTGGTACTTCCCCAGTTTTTTCTTCTTAGTGAATAGAACTATCATCTAATACTTGAGGCAGAAACTTAAGTGTCATACATGGTTCCTCCCTTTCCAATCCAATTCAATCCAATCCATCATGGATTTCTGTCACTTGTATCTCCCAACTCTCTCTCATATCCGGTTCTCCCCAGCTCCACTGCTAAGATTTAAGTCTGAGCTACAAATTATCTGTCAATATTCTGTTAGGTTATCTTCTCATTTTACTCATATCCCCTTCCCATAGGTTCTCCATACAACAAGCAGGGTCATTTTTTGAAACATGCATCAGATCATGCTAGCTCCTTGTTTAATACCTTGCAACAGTTCCCTGTTGCACACTGAGAACATCCCAGTCGGAAAACTCTGCATGATCTGACCCTAGCTCTTCTCACGCAGGTAGCCCTATTGCTCGCCAGTGTCCAGCGACAGATTCAGTGACCTGTGCATGTTCTTTTCCGCACCACGCCTCTGCGGTTCTTTCTGCCTGCGATGTGTTCCTCTCTCTGCAATTTGTATGGTATGTTCCTTTTCTTTCTTCGGATGTTGCTTTCACGTCCCTTGCCTATTAGACAGGCTCTCTGTGATCGGCCTGTCTAATATTTCCCTCAACCTCTCCACCTCCCACCCCCATTACTCTCTCTCAAGCTCTCCATGTATTTCTGGCATAACAATGATCTCAATTTGTAATTGAAATATTACTTGTTTTGTTTATTGCTCCAAAGCCTCTCTAGATTCTAGGCTTCATGAAAGCAGAGACTTTGTCTATCTTGTTAACTGCTTTTGGGGTTTTTATTAAAAGATATCTAGTGCAGTGCCTGGCCCATAATAGAATCTAAATATCTGTTAAATGATATACATGCATACATTCACAAGGAATAAATAAGTGAATAAGAGCATGGTCTCTTTGTTTTTTCAAGAGCTAAAGATGTTATTATATTATGCTGTACAGTAAAACAATATGAAACACTTAATAATGCTTTTATGATGAGGCAAAGGAATTCAAGCAGCTATGGGGAATATGAATAGCCTTTGAATGAATACCTTTGAAAGTCGTTGAGTTAAATCAGTTGAGATTCTTTGGGGAGGAGTCCTAAAAAGTTGACTGTAATCAGCTGTCCTCCAAATATTTTAGATGAAAGAAGATAAAACAAGAGTAATCTTCATCATTAGGTGTTTAAAAGATATACGAAGAAACATTTTCTATCGAGGGTAAGAATCAAAAAGAAAAACTGTTTTCAAGGGGACATAACAATATCTAAGAATCCTGACTTTCTATCGTGCTTTTTACGTTTGTAATGAATCTGTGGCCATGCTGCATTTTCATTCTATTACTTATTTGTGCATTCTCCCTCTATTTTTTTTCTTTCTCAGTCTTAATGGAAATTTGGAGGTGGCAAAAATAATAATACAAAAAGTATGATTGGTGTACATTTATTGTTTCCTATGTGCCAGGCATTATTATCAGGGCTTTGCATGTTCTAACTTATTTAATCCTAAAAAGAATCCCTATGAGTTAGGTACAGGTTCAGTGTCTCTTATTCAAAATGCTTGGGGACAGAAGTATTTTGGATCCCAGATTTTTTTAGATTTTGGAATATTTGAATATACATGATGAGATATCTTGGGCTTGAAACCTAAGTCTGAACACAAAATTTATTTTTACACACCTTATACACATATCCTGAAGGTAATTTTATTTTTCCCTTGGGACTCTGAATAAACTTTTTGTTATACACCTGCATTTTGACTGTGACCTGTCACACGAGGTCAGGTGTGAAATTTTTCACTTGTGGTATTATGTGGGTGCTTAAAAAGTTTCAGATTTTGGAGTAATCTGGATTAGGGATGAATTTGAATTAGGGATGCTCATCCCGTACTATAATGATCTCCATTTTACATATGAGAAACAGAAGCAAAGCAAGGTTACCTAACTTGACTATGAGCTCACAGCTACAAAACAGTGGGCTACGATTTGAAATCAGGCAGTCTGGCTCACGGTCCTTGTCGTTAATCATGACACTCTACTGGGTATTCCTGTAATTATGCCCCACTCTGTCTTTTTAGTCATCAGAATTTTTTAGTTAGGAAAAAAGAGTGTATATTCTAAACATATCAGGATTGTGCTGGCAGAGTAGAAACAGGAGGTTTCAACAGTAAATGTAAGAATATTCCATGTCCTATTAGACTTTTTGCTTTTTAATTAAAATATTTGTAGTTTTTATTAGTGGGTAGCACCAACAATGGACAGCAGAGATTTTCTTGTCTTCCCCTTTCCCTCTCCAGGTAAAAACAAACCGAGAACTCTGGGAGCCTCTTTGTGGGAGGAGACAGATAATAAACCTATGAAATTCTCGAGTAGAGAAAAGAAAATTGACTCCTTTTCTTTTTGTTCCTTCTAGTTACCTCCTCTCTACACTTTTTGTTCAGTAAAACTTAAGGTCTAATGTAATTAATGATTGGAAAGTATTCTTTGCTTTCATAGATTCATTCATTCACCTTTTATTTATTCAACAAATATTTCTGAGTACCTACTCTGTGTCAGGTTCTGTGTTAGGCTTGGATGTTTAGTGGTGAAGCAAGCCTGTGGAGGAAATCTGTGAAGAAAATCTGTGGAGGAAAAGAATGAAAACATGAAACACACACATATGCACACTCATACGTATGGTATTTTACGTACATATTGCTTATACATACACATGCACACACTTTATATCTAGTATGTATTTTACATAGTTATAAATTTAAACTTTATGTACTTATCCTATACATACTTTACATATGTATATAATTACAAATTATCATAAGTGCTATGAAGGCAATGAACAGGTTCTGTGACAGAGAACCAATTATGGATGGGAGCTCCTGGAAGAGCAATAATGAGTCCCTGGGGAGCAGTAGGTTGGGGATATTCCTGGATTCAAAGAAAAGTGGCAGACGGATCTTAAAGTCTCCGTGCTACCCAGCCTAGCTCGCAGAATCTCTGGTCTGGAATAAACGAACCAACCAGAGCTACGTCTGTGTGCGTGAACTAATGCCCATGGATCTAGCTGCAGAGTGCACAAATCAGCATGTCCATTTGATAAGGAACTAAAAATATCAGCATAGATATTGGTGAAATGTAGAAGACATTTAGTTCATAAGCCTATGTTGTGAACATGCTGTGAGGAGCCATAAAAGAAAAAGTACCTTTGACTGCAAAGCTCTGAGTCTAATTGGGTAGAATAAACAGATGCATGAGAAACGACACTGGAGGCAATGGACCAAAATGTGCAAAGAGAGCCATTATAAATGGAATAAACAGAGCACGGCTGAGCTCATCCTTTTTAAAGGAAATGAGTTAGAGACGTGGCATTTACTTAATTGATGGTGGAGGCAGTACGAATATATTTAGATGGACACTGAAAATAAGGGCTTAAATTTAGGAAGACAAACACAGAAAGAAAATGCAACTTCTAGGGAGGCATGCAAACTAGGTAAATGATTTGGAAAGTTTTGTCCTAAACTTCTAAAAGTGCTACTGTTCCTCTTAGGTGTCTGTTTACCTTATGCATCAATGTTGTTCAACAAAGGTGATACGAGTACTTTTCTGGGCAGGGTGCAGACACTAGGAATCTTGTGAAATGGCCAGTCTGTTATATGTTGTTAGTAAAATATCCTTAGTGCTAAAAATGTTTTAAAATCAAAACCTTCTGTTCAAAGGATCCTAATACTAATTTTCATCCAGCGTGAGAGATTTTGGAACTTTCAGAGTGTTATTCAGAAAACAGTTTAATCAGTATGTTTTGAAAGATTCCTAAGTGCAAAGGAAATTAGTGGACACTAGGAGTGCAAGGATGAAACATGGTCTTGTCTTTATGGAGCTTAAAGTTTCATGAGGAGCAGAGAGAATGGTAAATGTGTCATCTTCATAAAATGCACTATAGAGGCACAGGCAGGGCTACAAGCAATGTCACCCAGATGAAGAGTGGGAGACCACAGGGAACACTCTGGAAAGCCAGTTATTTGGCTGAGAATTGATAACACAACAAAGGAAAATAAAAGGAAAAGATCGTTTCAGGAAGAGGGAACAGGCTAATAGGATGAGTGTACAGAAAAAAATGTGGAAAACTTCATAAAAGATTATTTTTAGCAACTCAGCATTAATGCATGTTTCAGTGTTCGAAGTCCAAAATAAGTTTAACAAATACGTGAACTAAACAACCCCAAGTTGACACTTTTGGATTAAGATTATATTTATAAAACTAATTTAAGCTTTTAAGATATGGAATTGCTTTATGGCCCAAATTTCCTTCCTTGAAAGGAAAGCGGAAGGAATAGAATTTTAGGATAATAATAAGTAACAGGTCTATATTCCAATCGTGTCATTCACATATGTGGAAATGGATCTGGAGACCCTGCTATCTTTTGTAACTTACTAGGAAGGGCACTAACATTCGATAGACCAATCACCTGTAAACCAGCTCCTTGCGGTGAATTTGAGGGATGTTGCCTTAGGAAGGGGGACAGGCTCAGTTAATAATAATGAATTGCAATGGTTGAGTGTCTCGTGTCGCTAAGTTTAGCAGAAACAAACAAACAAACAAATCTCCCTGTCAACATCTCAGAGGCATAGTGCAGAGCAGGCTCAAGGTTGAATCATACCTAAAGTAAAGGAAGAGAGCTGCAAAGGGACAGTGACTTCAGGGGTCTAGGCACCCTGAAGGGTCTCTGAGATCTTTATGATGGTGCAGGAGAACAGCACTTCTAACGGTGTTGCTTGCCCACAATACAGTATGGGCAAATGTCCTTAGTCAGCCCCTTGGATCAATCAGGGTTCAATTAAGAAAACAAGGTTCACTTGGAATATTGAAGTGAACGGACTATTATAATGCAGGGAATTGGTTAAAGGAGGAAACTGGTGATGAAAAAGACAGAAAAGCCAACCAGAGAGAAGTGAAGCAGCTCAGAAATCAGTAAGTGGAGCAAGCCATAACCAACCCTAGGCTGGAGGAAAGCAGGACAGGGAGCTGCTACTGTAACTAATGCAGGAGCCTAAGGTTACCGGCTGGGAACTGGAACTGTGGCAGATCTGAGTCGTGAGAGCCAGAGCAGGGAAGAGACCTAGCTACGGCTGAGAAGAGGAAGGAGGCAAAGTGAGTGTTGGGAGAGATACCCTGGCCTCTCCCTTCTTCCCAATATACAGGTCTCCTTGGAGATTCTACCATAGTCCCCACCCCCAAACTTCTATTGGCAGAAGCCAGCTGCTTGCCTGCTAGACAACTCCCTGGGAAAGGAAACCTGGGGGGGAAGGTGTCAGACTGCCCTCCCCCTAATTGAGCCAGAGGAAGAGCAAAGAATGGATTCAAGGGCAAACACAGAAACAGCACAAAACCCAATTAAGAGTTCTAAAGTCATAGAATCTTTAAGTCATGTCTAAAATATTTTCTCTGTTTTGCTTGGCTAGAGGTCAATGGAAATAGGAAAATCTACATGCACAATCAACAAATTAGTTTTAATTTGGCTAGAAATGCTCATCAGAGAAGACAAACTGATTTTTTTTCTCTAAAAGAACTTGCATGTTAATATCCCATTTTGTAAACTTAGTCTACATGGAAGATTTTCTGTTCATTGTAGGAGTACATTTTACACATCAAAAAGTCCTTGAATTATTGAACAAAGGCTTATTTGCCTAAATTACCATGCTGGCCTGACACTGAAATGTGGGGTTTGAGTCTTTGTACATATAGTGACCTGAAGTATTTTGATAAATGCCATTGCCTAAAACTATTCAGTAGGAAGTTTGGGCACCATCTGTGTTTGTTTCTGTAGGAGCAGTAACTGCCTAGAGAAAAATCTGATGCTCATTTCAAAGATGCAGTATAAACAAAACTCAAGATGATGCCTTTAACATAATTATTCCACCTTTCATTTACATAGTACTTTATTCATTTCAAAGTGATTTGATGTGCTTTCATTTAACAGATCTTTATAAAACTGGTGGAAGTTGGGTATGGGCTTCTAAAAGATATAAAAGCTTACCAAGGAAAATAACACTGAAATAAGGTAGTCTTTTAGAAGACTGTAGAAAACCGTATAAGCCTCATCTGTTGATAGTAATGGGATATAGTTATTGAGCACATTTCCTGTGCCAGGCACTCTTTTGAGTATATCATATGTTTTAACTCATTTAATCATCAAAACAATCCTATGGAGTTCTCATTTTAGACAAAAGATGACGAAAGGGCAGGGAGGCTAATGGACAGCTTATAAAAGATTTGAGCATAGGTAGTTTAACAAATACTGTTTCTCTTAAGCAGTGTCTTCTTTAAATATTTACTCAGCAAGCAACCTTCCTAATTACAGAAACATATTTATATTGGGTCTCTTTTGTTCTTCGAAAATGTGTGTGTAACTCAGGGTTGAGCTGGTAAAATGGCTCACTGGCTTTCTGTAAAAGAAAAAAAAATTCCTGATTTTGTAACATTTTCCAATTTCCATGGTATACAGACTTACCAGGGTCCATTTCAAGCTACCAAAGTGAAGTCACTGAAGTCCAGTGGAGGAAAGCTGCACACATTTGGATCTCGTTAGCTAGTAAGAGCTGCCCCAGCATACAACCAGCTGATTATAAAATTACTATTACTATTACTATTGTATTCAGATGACATGTGTACCATGGATGTGATGGTTTACTCTTGAAATATTCCTAAACAAGAATTCATCTGATTCTTAGCTGTTTTATGCAACTTAATATGAATTAAATTGTTTTGTGTATGCTCTTGTTCAATCACTGCTTACAAAGAATGATGTAATCATGTAATCTGTTAATCAGGCCTATCTTGGGTGAGGCGTTCATTCACATAGCACCTGGAGAAAGGAGCAGGGAGGCCAAAAAATTGCAACCACTCATAAGATGGGCCAGTAGATACATTAGGTCAGCAGTCTCCTACCTTTTTTGCACTAGGGACTGGTTTCATGTAAGACAATTTTTCCATGGACCGGGCGGGGGTGGCGGAGCTCAGGCAATGATGTGAAAAATGGGGAACGGCTGTAAATACAGATGAAGCTTCACTCACTCTCCCTCCTAAGTTCCATGGAAGACTACTTATCCACAGGCTGGAGGTGGGGGAACCTCAGGCTACAGACTGGTACCAGGGCTTGGGGACTGCAACAGTAGATCAGAGGCTTCCTATACTGTGACAAAAGCTTCTTCCCAAGCTCCATCTTCTGGATCTTACCTTCCCCTTTCCTAATACTAAATAGCTTTTTTATTTTAAATTATCAAAGCTGTCTCACATTGAGAATGTTTTACAGATACCTGTCCCCAACTAAGCATTATACGAGGACTTTCACTTTCCCCTTTATTCTTGAAAGCAGTATGATGAAATCAAAGCTTTCTATCATCAGCTCACCATACTCTTTTCTCATCTGTGTGTTTTGTTTTCATTCTTATTATTTCCCCCCATGAAACAGTTTTGAAAAGTATTATAAAATTCTAGTGTGGGAATATAAACATCTGACATTTTTTTCTACAATAACAACAAACAGCAACAAAGAGCAAATGAAGCTTGGCTTGACTGGTGGTGGGGAGACCATAATGTAGAATATGATAAAGATTGTTAGTGATCTTTTGGCCATGCCTTTAAAGCCCTGTTAACAACCCAAACCCAAACAGTGACAAAACAACCCTGTCCTACAAAAACTGTGGGTCAGCAGATGGAGCTTGGGAAAGCTTGGGCAAGCTTTGGAAGCTTTCCTCCTGCTGGTGGATGGGTTTGGTGACTTTGCTGCCCCTTGTGGAGAACCTGGACTGAGAAGAGGGGTTTACCAGCTGTTCTGGGCATAAACTTGGAAGGAAAACTCTTCCACTGTTAAGATGCATGCAACTCTTTGCTTTTCCACCTTTTTTCCCTTCTCTTCAGTGTTTTTCTTCAAATAAAACGCCTAAAAGCTTACTCTTATAAGCTAAAGATTGTGAAAGTCCTTGCAAGCCCATTGGTTCCAGGTCATAAAACAAATGATCAAAACAAAACTTTCATAGCAAGAATATTTAATCCTTCAAATGGACACCATTGGAAATTTGTCCCACAGACAAAGTGGAATAAATAAACCAAGTAAATCCAAATGTCTCATTCAGCAAATACATATTATATTATAGATATTCTAGATAACAATTCCTGTGCTAAAGATCTAAGAGTCCAAATTTGAATAAAACATGAATCTTGCTCTTTAGTGGTTTGCAGTCTAAACTATATTTACCAGCTATGATTAATTTATTTATTATTGACATTAATATAAATCTATAATCTATAAGTATTTAGGCAAGCTTCTAAACCAGATTTTCATGGAGACATATCATAGATATATTAGAAAATAATTACACATTTCTAGGTAATTGTTATAAGTTTCACTATCTATTCAAGAACAATATAACTAGGGATCTGAAATGCATTAAAAAAAGCCTTAAAGATAAGGTTTTGTTTTGAGCTATAAAAGAAAAAGAAAAATTCTTACTTACCTATGTCCATACCTGACCTTCCATTCAAATCTAATCTTTTCTATAAAGTCATCTTTTAAAATCTCAGCCCAAATTAACTTTTTAAATTTGCATAATTAACATGCTAATATGTTCCACATATATTTTAACCCAGTGGTTGTTATTCATAGTGCATGTCAGAATCACCTGCGGAATTTTAAAAATACACATTTCCAGGCTATAGCCTCAGAAACTTAGTCAATGCAGGTAGTATACTGGCATCTGCATTTTTAATACATACTACACATGATGCTGATATGCACATCCAGTTAAGAATTTGGAATCTAACAACAACAGCACACAATCCATATTTGTGCCTTTATATTCTTGTATCCCCAAGAGAATTGTAAGCATCTTTTGAGTATAGGCACAGACTTATATTTACTTTGTTCTGTGCAGTACACAGAAGTTAACTCTGCACTAGCAAGTATTTCCACATTTTTTGTTTGGAAAAATTACAAGGCATTTCCTTTCAACAACCTCTATATAACAACATTATATCTGTTTTTATATTCGTATTCCTTATATAGTGGTGGAACAAATTTGATCATGAGAAAATATTATTTATTCATCTTTACTTAATATTGCTTTTCAGAAAGGTTTCTAAATTAGAGCAAGCCCTAGAGTTTCAGAGATGGCTCTCCCTCTAGCATAGTAGTTACACTTACATTGGTTCAAACCCAGATTCTCTTCTTATTTGGCCTATGGTAAGAAGAAAAACAGGGATAACAAAAAGATTTAAAAGTACGTTAAGTGCATGCCAGTATTAAGATCTCAATGCATAATAGTTAACATAAATATGGGGTATTAAGGAAGTCCCTTTGTCCCCAAGAATTTTTCTTTGCATCCAGCTTCTGTGTCTTATATCCTGATAATCAGTGAGACATCTAGGCACAGAATGTCAGAGCTGGAGAGGCCTGTTGAAAGGATTTAATCCTCCAATGTTCATTTTTAACCTATGAGCCAATTTAGAGCTAATAGCTAAAGCAATTCATACACATTCACAGGGTTCAAATATTCTGCTTTGCAGAACTGTTTTAAGGGACAAAGATATAACACAGGGAAAATCCCAAGTATGATGCCTGGCATACACTAGTCACTCAGGAAATCATAGTTTTTATCATTTACATAGTACTGTTAATATCCTGAACTAAAATATCCCGAGTTTTAGTTCAGTTCAGTACTCTTTTTCTGCCTCTTAAAATGCACTGTCTTTATAAGAATATAGTTATAACAGCTAGGAAGAGTAATATATTAGAACTATTCATAATCTTTGAATGTGTTAATAAAAACAAAAGTTCATTATATTGACAAGCAAATAGGAAGATGGTATGTATAACGATCTTCGGGCGTATATTGATGCAGAGTCCGACCACAGTCTGGATTGGGGTTTGCCCACTATGAGAATAGGCCATGCTATTTTACCTCTCTAACTCTTTGTTTTCTCAACTATAAACTGGGGGCAATAAAATACTTGCCTCATTGGGTTATTGTAAAGAATTCATTATATGTGAAAGCACTGCAAAGTCTCTGACAAATAGCAAGCTTCCAATAAAGATATTTTTATTATTACAATATTAACAGTTTATTATTATTTATAGTTAAAGTTACTATAATATTTCAGCCATACCAGGACACCTCTGAGAGAGAACGGTAGTGGTAGTGATAATTATACTGGAACAATAGGTGTAAACCAAGACACATGGTCACAATTACAATATATTTTCTAGCTTCAAGAAAATTCCTAAGGGAGTGTTACGTTGTGCAGGATATTTACAAAGAACTCTATGGAAAGAGTTCGAAAAGATGTTAAGTATGAGTCAGATTCAAGATGGAAACAAAAATTAGGTGCTGTTTTCTTCCGAACTTCTCTGAGAAAAAAACAGAAGGGGGCATGATGTTTCTACAGTATTTATAACTTATTTCAATTCTTTTTAAAGATCTTTCTGGGAAATGTACTTTCATTACCAATTTTTTTTTATTTAAGTACTTTTAAGAACAACTTTCTGAAATATCTTATACAAGTTTCTATCTCATTAAACAAACACATACACTAAATTTATGCTCTCTAAATAAGTTATTCTTTAATATAAGGATGTATAAAGAAGAAAATGAAAACTTCCCTATTGAATCATTGATATCGCTGATCATCCATTCAGGGATACATTTATTTTTTCCTTTTGTTTTAGAAAAAAATTAGAACTTCGGGAGGGAACAATTTTATTCTATTGGGTTCTATTCCACTCTACTCCATTCCATCCCATTTCATTCTACAAACATTTATTTGAACCCTCTATGTATTGGCCCTCTCCAATAAAATTGAACTTTCTCTCTAATACAAAAAGGTGACACTTGGAAGAATGACTACAGTAACACTTCAGACGAAGGCTCTATAAGAATCCATCATGTATGGTGGGTGACGTTTCTTCTCCACAGAAACTTTTGGTAACCCTACTCTCTTTATGAACATCATATTCTCTCAGTAAAATATATTTCCTTATTGATTTTTGTTTTGATTTTTACTCTGCAATACAGAAATTCATAATCTCAAGTTCTAGTGATATAAGACATATAAAAATCATGTGCGTATGAGAATCAACACATTATTGCTATGCTGCTACGATGTAGAATAAAACCCAAGAGTTTCGCACTTATTTCATATGAATTTAATGTTCCACTTATTTTCCATCTGATGCAAAGGGCTGCTTCAGCCATTTAAACATTTCTGTTCACGCCCATAATGAAGTGTGCTGTGTTTTGTAAGCAGAGTTCATAAATGAAATCACAAGTGGATGAGGGGACTTACCTCCATTGTTAAAAACACTGAATCTCCAAACAGCCAGTGTAAGATTTATTTCAGCTTTTGTTTTTGCTATCGTGCGTCTTCACCTATGGTCCCAGAGGAGCAGAACAACTTTAAAGCATAATGCAATGTAGGCATTTATAAGGCATTCCCATACAGGATATCAATCCATCTCGTGGAAAATTTAACAACAGTAGCAGATGTCAAACATACTCAAAACAAAATAAATTATCCTTCCAACTTTTTTTTTTATATTTAAGTGCTTTTTATACTCTGTGTTTTAGAAAAACAGTTAAAGCAGCATTCTAGCTATGATCAGTCTCTCCTAAGGAAGTTTTTTTTACGAGATTGATACAGATAATGACAAACATTAGTTGTTGCCGTTAGCATAAGGCATGAGCAACACAACGATATTTATAAGCAGTTAAGACCAAGCAGTAAAAATATGACTTCCTGTGACTTGGGCAGGCTTCTGACTACAGCGGATGGCTATTTTGTAAAGTGAAACTGGTCCAAGTCTGGTAGTAGTATACTTAATGGCATGAGCATCGTAAGACCTAATTGTTTTCTAGCACAGGGTACACAGCTCAATGTCCTCTATCAATCAAAAACAAACAGTTATACTGTTTAATGGCTGTTCAATTAATGTTTATGTGCTACTTTTACATCCTGAATTATTTGACAAATAAACTTTAAGAAGTCACTTGTGAACTAAGTTTAATGGAACCTCAACTACTATTAAAAATCCCCAGGATTCTTATAGTATCTCACACTATCAGCTAGGGAGTATAGAATGTACATCTGTATAGAATGTACATCTGTACATCAAAAATCTACACTCCTGTAAGAAGGAAAGAAAAATAAAAAGTTTGGAAGGAAATGATCCATGTAGCTTGAACCTTGGCACCTTGAAATTGAAAATCAAAATAGGATTAGAATGGAAATAGCTGGGTCAGACTAACTCAAAGGTGAAACTTGTTTTATTGTATCAGAAATGCTCGGCTTTTGTATTTCAATTGCTTTCTTAACTTGTAATGCCTATTGATCTTTCTACTCTTCCTTTGTAAGACTTAGCACTTTTAAAGCACAAGTTGATTGGATGTATTAATTTAACATCCTTCCTTTGGTAGAAGATTTGAAAAATTACTGAAAATATAATTTCATTGGAAGATTGCCATTTTTGAATTTATGAGGTAAAAAAGATATCTGGCTTTTATAGTTGGTTGGATATAGTAGTATTATAGTCATCCACTGTTATTCATTCTAATATAAGAGCCCTGAGGTCTCCAAAACTAGGGCAATGAGTTAATAACATCTTTTATTGTCCCAAATTAATTGGCCATCATTAGACATAGGAAAAAGAAATAAAAGCAACCAGAACTGAGGAAAACAGAGCACATATTTCGTTTTGGAAACCAAGCATCCTTCCACACCATTCATAGTATTTACAAATACTGATATGTGTGTATGTGTGGGTATATATATATATATATATATCTATATATATATATCATATTAATAGAACTGTAGCCATCCTCATCCTGTCCTGCAGTTTAACATATCAACATGAGGTTCATAAACAGACAAATGAGATGTAAGTTTAAAAGATGTCAAATGTTCTTTGACAACTTCCCACTAAGAACATAACTGAGAAATTACAAACTTATCATCGACCTAGTTGGTGGAAGTTTAAAGCTGACTGCTTTTGATTATAAGGCAATGAACCTTTCATTTTTTAGTTTATTTTGTATTTCTTAAACAGTTTTTCATTGAAACATATGAAGTTAAATTGATTTGAATTTGATTGGTTTTGAACTATAGTTTTATTATTTGTAATAACTAAAGGTGGTTCTACATTTAGAAACATTTCAGGTGAGCAGTTGACTTACTTTTAATTTTTAAACATATATTTGATACTGAAATAAGGTTTATTTGTAATTTAACTGGATATACTTTTTCTAATTTTACATATTGTTAGCCAATTATTCATATTCTAATCCATGTTTGTTTTTGAAACTACTGAGCAAATAATACATGAAATAAAAATTTGAATATGTTCCGTGGGTATCTCATAAATAAATTGATCATGAATGAAATTATAAATCCTCAGTTTTACTTCCAATTAAAAATCAGTATAGTATGTCTCCCCAGTTATTTTCTAGCTTATTTTCATATGTCTAAAATTTAAATAAATATTTTAGGAAATCGAGTATTTGGAGTAAGCTTTGGGTGTTATTATGTTAATATGGTATAAGATATAAATCATTAGTGTCAAATGTTGCCAGACTATTGGAAAATATTTAAGTGTTTTATGTCATACATTTTTTTTCTATTAACTTCAATATAAGAGTATGATTTGAAATGTAAGAGGAATTTCATTACTTCTAAGTAATGCTTACATTCTCCACAAAAGCAAAGTAGAAGAGAGAGCTGACAATGATAGGTAAATGTCCTATCTTGTCCTATCTAGGTAAATGTCCTATCTTGTCCTATCTCTAATTTTGGTAAATGTCCTATCTTGAATAGATGATTAGTTCAGTAGATGATATGTATTTCTAAACTTTACTGTCTAAATGTAGGAAAAAAATAAATTTTCAAATCTGCCTAATCAATAAAATTAGAGGCAGGGTGAATATATGATAAAAGAAATAGAAAATTTACACAAAAAATGTTCTAGTAAAGTCTGAAATTACAAACATTTATTTACACAAGTTATAGTAAAATCTGAATATCTTTTGAAGTAACAAGTGTACCCAGCATTAAAGATATCATAAAATTGATATTCTGTGCAATATAATACTATAATAGTAGTTTATTTTGTTTTTATTTTTAATCATAAGATTATTCATAGCTTATTTTTTATTCCAATAATTTGATTTTGAAATTTAATTTTGTCATAATATATAGTCATCAACAAATTAACAGACTGTTCCTTGTTCACTAATTTCTATTCTCGAATTCTGATTTCTTATCTATTTGTACATAAAGGCAATTAAGAATAAATAAAGTACTATACTTAGGAACCAATAGTCTGATAAGTTGAATAATTATATTTTGATGTTGTCTATGGTCTTATCAAGAACAAAAATATTAGTTATATCTACAAATCATTTGAGAACTGAAGTAAGTGTCATTTCTACTACTTGACAAATCTATAAAATTGACTGTAGCTACAATACATTAATGTTATCACCTAGGGTTATTTTGAGAAATGAGGTACACTTCCACTGCAATAAAATGAAGTCTAATTGGGAAATAAATAAAATAAAGCATTTATAATATATCCTCACATTTTAAAATCCAATCCAGCCTCAGAAGAGAATGAAATAATGACTAATTAAATATTATCAAATATCATTATTACATAATTTATCTTTATAAATAAATACAGACTCAAGAAATACTCTGTAGCATGTTAAAAATCTTAGTTTTTAATTATTATTATTTTGCTGTGAACACTGTAGACATAATTAAAGTCATCTCTTACTTAATCTAGACCCTACCACTGGAGGGTAGGGATAGGTGGTGGGGATCATTTCATCCCCAAATATAGGTATTTGTTTCACAATTTGCAACTTAGGCGTCACCTTTTCTTACTGCAAAAGTACATTTCCTGATCTTAGCAATTCTGCCAGACTCTGAGTGGATAGCACAGTGGAGCTATCTGACCATAGGAGTAAAAATTCAGGAACTTGTGTCAGATTTCGAAATGAGGTTTGACCTGAAAACTGAGTAAGTCCAAGACTCTCAGATATGTTGGTTTTATATTGGAAAAGGAGCTACTATATTTTCTGCACAGTGTAATACAACAGGTTAATTGTAAAACATCAAAATCTGTATTGATTTGCCTTGTATTGCTTCAACAGTGGTTTGTGACAAATAGATATTTCTGGGTCCTTGCAATGCACTTTAGCAATAAAGGTGGACAAAGATAAATTGGAAAACAGCAAATTCTCCACATGGCTACATTCTTATGGAAGAAACCCAAGTCTCTGAACTGCTACATGAAATTGTATAGTATAATAAATTAAATGAAGATCAACTGCTGACCTGTTTAATTTACACCCAACCTTGTGGGATCTTTTCCTCAAAAGAAGGGTTCTTGGTTGAAAATTAGAAAATTGCTGTGAATTTTCTGCCTCTTGCAAACCCAACCAAAATTAGATTTTTAAACTCACAGGACATTTGAAAATTTCAATTATCCAATAGTCAGAAAAATCCTTTTATTTTTTTTTTTAAGATGAAAGGACCAATATAAGTATAGAAAAATAATGGCCAAAGTTATGCTAATTCTTGTCTACTGGTAGAATAACAACCCTATTTCTTTCTTTTGAACTTCTTGTGATCATTGATGCTACAGAAATGAAATTACAATTTTGATATACTTTAAATCTAAATTAGAATGTTTCTAGCTATGTCTTAGTTAGCATAAAGCTTTTAATTATTGTGTTTCCCCGAAAATAAGACAGGGTCTTATATTTATTTTTCCTCAAGAAGACACTCTAGGGATTATTTTCAGGGATGTGTTATTTTCCCTTCAAAGCCTCAGCTTGCAGCATGCACAGGATGGCTGGGACCTGACAGGGGGAGCCAACCTTGTTGGTGGGGCTGCCGCACCTTTCAGGTCACCTCTGGGATAGTAGCTGTCGCAGATGAGAAGGGCTGCTTGTGTTTTTTACCGTTCTGGAGGAAATGCATGCGTTGAGCAGATGCGCTGCGTAGCCACGCCCATCACTAGGTCCTACTTTGAGGGTAGGGCTTATATTGCACAAATGCTTAGAAATCCTGCTAGAGCTTATTTTATGGGTAGGTCTTATTTTCGGGGACATACGGTAATTTCAATTCCATTCTTTCTCAGCTAAAATCAAGACAAAAATTATTACTTAATTTAGATTTCACAAATTTAATGTACCCTTTTATAATCATTAGGCTCTTGATTTTGACTAATTTCATATGCCTCTGAGACCAATATGCTATTTTTTTAAAGTATTTAATATTATGGCATGTCTGTAGTAAGCATGTAAATATAAACTATTAGCGTTATGAGTAAAAGTTTTTACATATAGAAAAAATATCAATACTTTTA